TGAGCCTCTAATACTCGGCATTATAGCGGTAAGAAGTGATCAAAATGTAGCGCAGATGGTATCTTATCGGTTTTTATCGATTGATAAGATTACCTGTCACCCGTCATCAATGTCCTCATCACTAAATCTCTATGTTTTGGTAGCGTGAACCACCTTGAACAGCGACGACGACTGCAACTTTCCTTATCAGCCCCTATCGGCAGTTATCTCTTCCAGCCACCCACGGCTGATGTCCACATCTCCCCTTCTATATCACCTGCTAGAACCAACGCCTCACTGACGCTGTGATCTGCGATGTGAACACCCAGTGACCATAACTTTCTAATGGCTGTTATCGAATCTTATCAGGTGCTGACACTTCGTGTCACCCACCAATGATAATCATGTCCCATACCCTATATCATCTCTTGGAATGAATACCTAACTGATGCTTTCATCAGCGTTATGAATGTGGTGGCGATCCCCTACCTTATCGAATCTTATCAGTAGATATCACTTCCTATCACCCACCAATAATCTTCCCCTTCCATACCCTATATCATATCTGAGAATCAACAGCCAACTAATGCTGTCACCCGTGTTATGAATATGGTGACCGTCCCCTTCTGACGCCCCGTATCAGATCTTATCAGTAGATATCACTTCCTATCACCCACCAATAATCTTCCCCTCCCATGCCCTATATCATATCTTGAAACCAAAGTCTCCCTGCTGCTGTGACCGGCGTTATGAATTTCGTGACACACAGACGCACGGACACACACACACACACACACGCACAGACATACTTAACGAATTATATATAGTAGGATCGTAAGATTTGGAGAATTAACGAATGTGCTGATACAGCTATGTATGCATTCTTCTCCGCAGTTTCTCCGATTTTTCGAACCCCACTGTTCCTCAGTGTTGCTAGGTATGAAAGCAACCATATATTTACGTCGCGGGTAAGGTGATCAAAGCGTGTTACAAATGGCATCACCTGCGCCCCATCGCACCGTTGTCTAAGATTTGAAGCGAAAGTGCTGTGGTATGTCAAATAAAATAGCCAAGAAATACAGGGGGGGCCAAAAAAAGTCATTTCGGCCGAGCCACATATCAACGAAGTTTTCGCAGCCCAGACAGGGGAAGTGGATATGAGTACCAGAGTGGAAGATACCCAAGATCTTCCTCTATAAGCTGGAGCAGTCTGCCGCCAATCGCCTTCATGTACGCCAAAATATGAAGTCATCTCCAGTCGCGGCCTGACTGGAGAACACCTTTGGAATTCACGTCGCCTCCAAACAGCTGCGAAACTTCTTGAATGAAGTCATCCACAGATAGCTACCTGGAGGTCAGTACTCTTGATCTGCAAGACCTCCCACATCGAGCAGCTTCGTCAACTTCGCTACGGTTCTCTAGGACATCATCTTCACCGTATTCGCCGAGGCGCGAGTTGATGGTATGGACCGGGGTACCTGGAAAGGGGAAGACCGATATTTTCTTTGTAGACCCCGACTGAAGGTGAGCGCTGGCGGTTACATCAAGTAACTCGAGAAGAATATCCTCCCTACATGTGGTCGCCCGTACCTTCTTGGAGACCTTGTGCTGCTACAGGTTTGGGTGCCACCACATGGAATCAAAGGGTTTTGGAAAAACTCCCGCCTACTTCGAATGGAAGGGCGTTTCGTACCTGAAGAAGATGTAATATTGAAGTATGTCCCCTGACCTGAACCCACTCAATTACCTAGTTCGGGCGGACTTCAAGAGGGTGGTCTACGGTGGCGGAGAAATCGACTACCCCGCTGATCTCAGGTACCACATCGCGGTCGCGTGCCAGAATCTCTCGATGGCGCTCCTCCAGAAGGCTGTGGCGGAGTATCATTATAGTATTTAATGTGCTCTTTAATATGGTAGTAAAAATGTCCGATAAAAATTTAATAAAGTGTAACTTATAGCGCCTTGAAAGTCATGGAGGCAAAATGACTTTTTTTTGCCCCCCCCCCCTGTACATTCGGACTCGCACTCGTTCTAGCCTTCCTGCACACCCGTTGGTTCTCCCATATACCAATCTACTCTTGTAAGGCGCTTCAGAAGCCGTCAAGCCCAACCAAACCTCTCATCATGTTTCTCGCTCCTCAAGTCGTCATCTGGGTGTTTCAAATAGCCTCTTTTCGAGCCGATGTGTTATGAAGTCTAATTCCAATTGGGCTGAGGTTCTGCTGCCCGGCCTTCCTTCTCAATCTCCTCTTTTTCACATTTGTATTACCTGGCGCATTCATCAGTGCATCTATAAAGAGGTGAGCGACAGCTGGATCGCGCCTTCCAAGCGTGTCCGTGACATGTACAGTTCAGCCGATTCGGCTGTGCATGACAGACTGCCGGGCTCAGTTTTGCTTGGAAAGTCAAACCGTGCAAGATCTCACTTGTGTTCCTTTCTGCTATACCATCTCAGGCTTACCATGGGCAGCTGTTAATGCAAAACGATTACCGGAGCTGGGGTTTTGGATTTATAGAGCCAGATTATAGAGCAGAGGGGTCCACTTCCTAGCTTCCCTCTTCATCTTAACGCTCCGATTAGCCTACATGACTGCAACCACCTATCTATGGGCGCATAAAGATGTCAAGAAATCTTCGGTTGTACGATTTTGCCATCAAAGCATGTTCGCTCGATGGACAAGTCAGTCGACTTTGTCTTTCTAAGAGCGTATTAAACGTATTGTTCCCCATTCAATCCCTCATTGCTTTAAATTTTTTTGCAGATTGGATACAAAATAGCCATGCTCAGAGCTCGAGTGAATTTGAAGGTCCAACTTTCGAACGACAAGGTACTGTTGTTGTTGTTTTGCTGATTTTTAGTAAACGTCAAACATTGTAATATAATTTTACTAACCTGAGGGGTTGGCGCTTTATTTGGACTACTGTTATACAAAAGTATTAACATACTTCATATTGATTGGCCCGCTTCTCTCCCTCTTCCAATCCTGAGCAAAAACACGTCTCCTATGGTGATTCTCTAGTCCCACCAACACATCCATCTTTTATTTTATGACGCCAGGATTCAAATCAGAGACGTGAACTTCAAAAACTCATCTGTTCTTCTTTTGAGGTAGTTGATACCGTCGACGTCGAAGATATCGGAGAAAAGAAAGCGTTTTGTCGATGTTGGAAAAGCGAAAAGGTTAGCAAAGAACTCGTCAGATTCGTTTTGTGGATGAGTAGTGTAACGTACTTGATAAATGTGGGGGGAGTTGCAGCGTGGAAAATCTTTCCTTTTGCACTACACTCACTCATAGAGACTTATTAGTGTAGTTCGCTGCGGAAGAAGGGGCGTGTCAGGTGGGATGGGTTTGGCGCGGTGACCCATCCTCACCAGTTGTTGAAGCGAGCAAGTGAAGACTATCATATCGTCCGTACCACTCGTTTTCTACTAATTGTTGTCGTATACCCGCTTCAACAAGTGGCAGAGAATGAATTTGGCGCCGTGGCACACTCATGCTGCCTGACACGGCCCTTCTTCCGCAGCGAGCTAGAATACACTTACCTTTCTGCAAATATTCTGCATTTGCTATAAAATGGAATTCCCGTTGATATTTTTTCCCAGCAAGCAATCAAAAGGTCACCGCGCGATCCAGTAATAAGGTTTAATGTGTGTCCTATAAGAGTGAGTCATGTTTGCAGCAATAAGGAGGCGTGGCTGGAGCGGGGTTTCTCATGAGCCCTACTACATGCATGGGGTTGGAGCCCCGGATGAGCTAAAACTACCGTTTACATGTCTATTATCAATCATTATGTTGCAGTTTCCGTATTGTGACGGTGCGCACACGAAGCACAACAAGGAAACTGGTGACAACGTTGGTCCACTGGTCCGTGAAAAGACCACTGAACATAGTCGTCAGCGGTGCGTTTATAGGTTCTCACTAGATCATGTCATTCTTAGCCACTTACATCATGGTGATTTCCTTTTGTTTTTGTTCATCCTGAGTGAAGTTGTGAAGTAGTAAAGTTTTTTTCGAACGTTGACTATCATATATCATATCTGGGAAGCCATTTTTAGTGTACTATGCATGCGTGGTTAAGGGTAATGGAAAGGAAGCGTGGAAGATTTTCGTGAAGAAGTGTTGCTTACGTTTTCAATGTGTCAGCAAGTTTTAAAAGAACGAATTTACAATTCTGGGTGGTCGCACTAGAGGTACACTCTTCATCCCAGCAGTGGAGTGGGCGTGGCTGCGTATTTGAACATGGAGTAGGGTGCGTTCGTTGTGGGATATCTCGGGTGTGTGGTAATTCCATCGTGGGGTCGTCGCGCCGGTGGGCGGAGCGAGGCGGCGTGACTGCCGCGCCGACGAGTTCTGTTGTGTGGCGTTCAAATTGTTAAGGGGTCGACGATCCCTTTAACAATTTGAAAGAGGCACAGCTTGCTGTGGCCGAGCAGGTCCGTGACTTTCTTTTATTATTTTATTTTTTCGATAGAGCCGTCAGACGATGCCGCACACGCCGCACAGCGACGCGGCGCGTCGTGCGCGCTCGCTCCTTGCGACCCGATAGAATCGCCCGGGAGCCCCTCCAAAGGCGCAGCTGCTGTCACGTTTAAAGGCACTTTCCGCGATAAAATAAGCCTATAACCTCTCAAATGTGTCAGATGATCCTGAAGGCGATACTGGAGCCTGTGCCACCTTCAAATAGTGAAAATCGGCCAGAACTCCACTGGAAGCTGGGACCCATGTGCACCCCTTAGGCCCATGCCGACTCCCTGCGGCTGCTAGCTACTAGCTAGTAGCCACTATGCTATCTCTCTTCATTCCGTATGGTGAGAGTGCGGTCATAAGATAAAAATGCTTGTATCGTTATGATAGGGATGAGTAGAAATTATATGCACGCATAAGTTCAGGTCGGCTTGGAGTTCTATTTAGGGCATTTCGGACTGTTTTTTTCTGCATCTTTTCTCCAATGATCAGTTAGTTACCAAGCACTTTTCGTTCGTATTGGAGACCCGTTACCTGCAATCTGTGGTGGCGGGCTTCACCTTCAAATGAAGTTCGTAGTCACGTACTCCCAATCGCTGGGATATAGAGTGCAGTGAAGGCGGTGGCGCTGAATGACGGATTTAATGACGTGCCCTGATTTGATTGCCCCGAAGGGTCGTTATGATTACTAGGCTGTTCAGAAAAGATGCGATTGGAATACCACGTGCCCATTTTTATCTGTACCAGCTATAGCATGTCAAGGATGTGGCGGTGATAACTTTCGTCGCTCCACTCGCTGGAAGGCTCGGTTCTCGTAATGGGCCAATGAAGGCTATTGTTAGCGGTGGTATATTTTGTGGGTGCTATGAGACTTGGGGTTAATCTAACCCTTTTGTGTAGATTTATATAGGTTTACTGACGAGACGGGGTGGTCTCTCAGGTAGTCCGAGACGGGGTGGTCTCGGTGGTGGTTGTGGTAGAATGCTCACTTAATCTAGGCGTGCCTCTCAATACAGGAGAGGTCACGCATCGAGTATCTAACCATTTACCTACAGGGTTATAACATGTCTCAATGTTCCCTATGGGTTACACATATGGTGCTCATCATTGCAGACCGGTGGGGCGGGTGAGCCGCGCTGCGCGTGACTCGGCTGTGATCGCTGCTGTCATATGGATGATGGCTATATCAGAGATCCTCGACCCGATCTCGTCTGGCGGAGCCACCCACGCCGACTCGCTGTATGATGACGCATCATGGAAAGGCTACTTAAGAGCCGCTCACGGAGAGAGAGGAGTTATCTACCCCTGGCTGGCAGCAGCCTCCGACTGGCCGCTGGCCTTGGCCCTGCCCTTATCCTTCCTACCTTGCTTCCCTATGTTCATGCTTAATACGAATAAACATATATAAAAACTGATGTTCTTATTCTATACCGCTACACCCATCGGATGAAGGTCCCGTACATCCTTCAATCTGATAAGTTCTTTTCATGACCATTCAAGACCGAGCTACAGTTGTACGGGTGCAGTTCAAAAAATCCGAGGTACGGCATCTCGCGCAAATTGGTGT